AAAAGGGTATCGGGCGGGTGATGTGTCCTCCGAGCGAGGAGTGCGGGGCGGCTCAGCTGGCGGAGCCCGACACGGGGCTGCCGCGCGTCCCGACGCGCTGCCCACGGGACTGCGCCCCGCGCCTGTCCTGGCAGCAGGACAAGGGGGAATTTGGGCAGCAACAGCACAAAACTCTTCTCTGTCACTGCTGTCCATGGAGCTTGACCAAAGCGCCCGTGTCCTTGTGGGGTGGGCGGTTGCGCTACCGCTCCGGTTCCGCCCGGCTCTGCCTGCTGTGTGGCTCGAGATGTCCCTCCCTGCATGCGTGTGGCTCCAGCCCAGCCTTCCAGCCGGGCTCTGCTCCCGTGTGTGTGTGTGTGCAGGGCAGGGGGAGCCGCGCGGTGCCTTCGCTCTGACCCCGGGCTGGCGTTCGCAGGTGGCCAGCGTGAGGAAAACCACCGTCCTGGACGTCATGCGGAGGCTGCTGCAGCCCAAGAACGTGATGGTGTCCACGGGGCGCGACAGGCAGACCAACCACTGCTACATCGCCATCCTCAACATCATCCAGGGCGAGGTGGATCCCACGCAGGTGAGCGCGGCGGGGCTCGGGCCTCACGGGCAGGAGCACCGGGCGCAGGGATCCTGGAGAGAGACGGAGCTGCCCGAGAGCCAACTCCAGGTTTCCAGTGTGGCCCTGGCCTTGCAGGGAGGCTGGTAGCCCTTTGCCACGAGGAACCCACCTGCCCTTTGCTGAAATCCACCTCTCTGACCCCATATGTACTCTGAGGAGCAGCTTCTGAGTCCGCTGGGCTGCTCTGCCCCTTACCCTGATACCCCTTTCCACTCTCGCCCACTAGGTCCACAAGAGTCTGCAGCGAATCCGTGAGAGGAAACTGGCAAACTTCATTCCCTGGGGCCCTGCCAGCATCCAGGTGGCTTTGTCCCGCAAGTCCCCCTACCTGCCCTCGGCGCACCGTGTCAGCGGCCTCATGATGGCAAACCACACCAACATTTCCTCGGTGAGTGTCTGCCCTCGAAACCACAGGCAGCTGCGAATGCTGCAACCTTCTCTTGGCCTCTCACGCAGCTGCGCATGAGGGGAGGGCTGGAGCGCATCAGGACACAGGGCTGGCCTGGGGTCCAGCAAGTCTGGCTGTACTCCCTGCTCCGGAATACGATCCCTGCTCCGGAATAGTGTCCCGGGCCGCAGAGGAGCTGCTCGCCCGCCTTCATCCCGGGGGCAGCCGAGCGCGGTCGCAGGCCGCGTGGCCCTGCGTGCACGGGCTCCCCGGGGAGCTCTGTGCTCTGACGGTGCCGCGTTGCTCCGCAGCTCTTCGAGCGGACGTGCCGGCAGTACGACAAGCTGCGCAAGCGGGAGGCCTTCCTGGAGCAGTTCCGCAAGGAGGACATCTTCAAGGACAACTTCGACGAGCTGGACAACTCCCGGGAGATCGTGCAGCAGCTCATCGACGAGTACCACGCGGCCACGAGGCCCGACTACATCTCGTGGGGCACGCAGGAACAGTGAGCGCG